GGGGGGGGGGCACGTTTTATCTAAAGGGAGACATGCCCCGAGGCGGCTGCACCCATGTTCCCATCCACCCAGCAAGCCCTGGGCGATTGGCAGCCCCCACTGCCCGATGGACACCCTTCTTCTCCTGTAACCATCTGTCCACCTATTTAACGTTGCCAATGACGACTTTTGTCTACTTATGAGGAGAGGGGAGAGCCAGACCTCTCCTCGGTGTGCCCGGTGTTTTGTCTGGGGCTGTCGGTTGCTCAGCTTGGGTTTTTCCTGTTGTTTGCAGCTGTGTCCTGGCCCTGCCAATGTCTGTCTCGATGCCCAGTGCTTCTCTCCAATTCCTTTATAATAAAACTTCCGAAAAGTGGACAGCGGTTTTGTCTCTCCTTACTCCATACGCCCAAGCTGGGCCTCCCGACGTGGCTTTGGCAAAGGGAGGCGGCTCGACCGGGACAGGGCCACCTGCCTGCCGTCCACCGGCCACTTGGGTCTCTGAGCCGGGGGTGGGCCTCCCTGGCCTCGGGTGTGGGGTCAGAGGTCATGGAACCCACTTCAGAGCAGAGGATCCGGATGGCACCCACGCATAGGGTTCTGGGGTGATTAGAAGGGATCGTGGGCATAGAGATGTGACCACACAGGGCACTCGCTATTCTGCCTGGTAGTACAGTTCATTAGTGAGTGACAGTGGTGGGCCTTCAGCGAGGGGACCTCTGGGCTCCGGAAAAAGAGGGGTGGGGGGAGGAAGGCTGAGAAGGGAGGTAGGGAGGGCATTTCTCTAAATATGCATATAGGAAATCGCCCAGACAGGGACTCCCAGCCAGCTTTCCAGCAGATGAATGGGGAGGGAGGGAAGGTTTGCAAAAAACAAACTCACAGCCATCGAGTCCGATTCCAGCTCCTATCGGCCCTACAGGACAGGGTAGAATTGTTCCTTGACATTTCCAAGACGAAATCGTTGCAGGAGTAGGCAGCCATGGAGCAGCTGAGTTTGAACTCCTGACCTTGCAGTTGGCCAAGCGAAATGTAACCCACTACCCACCAGGGTTCCAGATTCAACAACAAAAAACCCAAACTCACTGCCATCTGGTCGATGCCAACCCGTAGCTACCCTGTAGGACCGTGCAGAGCTGCCCCTGTGGGTCCCTCTTCTCGGCAGTGAAAGCCTGACACCCACCTCGAGGGATGTCAATCACGACTGCCCGTCCAATCCAGCTCCCTGTGCAACGGGACACAATGCTGCCCGGGCCGGCACCCTCCGTGGATGGCCCCGAAGGTCAAGTTCGCTTTGGCATCTCACTGAGGCTGTGCACACCTGGCTGGCCCTCCACTTGATAAAGCAAGATGACCTCCTCCAGCCATGAACCCCTCCTGTCCAAAGCGAGTAGGTCAAGTGTGATGAAATCCAGAGGGCTTTCATCGGCTCGTTGTGGGGAGTAGCCCGCCAGGCCTTTCTTCCCAGTCTGTGGGAGCTCCCCTGTCGCAGAAATAGCGATATTACCGCTTCCAGCATCTC